CCGGCGCCCTAGCCACTGAGCGACGGGCGCCTCCCAAGACATTCTTATTTTTACTAAAGCTTTATTATTAAATGTATTTAATTTTCTTTGTGAAAAAATAGGAATGCTTCACAAAATACTTCTACATGTTGAATGAAATATTAACATAAGGAAAAGGATTTGTGCTATCAAGTTACGAATTGATCTAGCTGACTTTTTTTCTTGGAACACTCTTTACTTGAAAGAGTGGGAGACAAACTGGGATTATTCAGATTTGATTGAGCTGGCCAACATTTTCTTAAATAAGTAAAGTGAGCCCATCACTCCAGGAAAAATAACCTGTAATATTCATTGTCAAAGATAAAAATCTAACTTTCAAATAAAAATTAGAATTTTGGAAATTTCATATCTGCAAATATGAGCTTGACATCTTCCCTATAATTAAAACTCTTAACAATAAAATTGGTAGACTAGAGAATGTAGTTTCTTAAATTGTATAATGTGTCGGCATTTATAAGATCTACATAACTCAGTGAACTAATAGTTTCGCAGTTACTAATACATGATGTTACTCATGTCTAGTTTTGTCAAAGATCTATTTAAAGTGCAAGATAAACAATTTTTTTTTTGAGATGGAGTCTCACTTTGCCACTCAGTAGAGTGCTGTAGCATCATAGCTCACAGCAACGTCAACCTCTTGGACTCAAGTGATTCTCTTGGCCTCAGCCTCCTGAGTAGCTGGGACTACAGGCAGCTGCTACAGTGCCTGGTTATTTTTAGAGACAGAGTCTAACTTTGTCACCCTCAGTAAAGTGCTGTAGCATCGTAGCTCACAGCAACCTCAAACTCTTGGGCTCAAGTGATTCTCTTTGCCTCAGCCTCCTGAGTAGCTGGGACTACAGGCACCTCCCACAATGCCCAACTATTTTTAGAAACAGAGTCTCACTGTGGCTCAGGCTGGTCTCAAACTCCTGAGCTTAGGCAATCCACCTACCTCAGCCATGCCCAGCCTCAACAATTGCTTTTTTAAAACGTAACAAAGTATGGGTTCGGCACCTGTGGCTCAAGTGGCTAAGGCGCCAGCCACATACACCTAAAGTGGTGGGTTCGAATCCAGCCCGGGCCTGCCAAACAACAATGATAGCTGCAACCAGAAAATAGCCAGGTGTTGTGGCGGGCGCCTATGGTCCCAGCTACTTGGGAGGCTGAGGCAGGAGACTTGCTTGAGCCCAGGAGCTAGAGGTTGCTGTGAGCTGCAATGCTACGGCACTCTACCCAGGGGGGTAGCTTGAGGCTCTGTCTCAAAAAAAAAAATGTAACAAAGTATGAAAATTCCATATTGCTACTAACCTTTGAGAGACTAGCACTTGTGCAGTTTTGGTGTACTATCAAAAAATATCTAATTATCAGAAAAGACTAGCAATTAAAGGACTTAGGTTTTCCAACGAGATATTTCCATGAGATCAGGTTTTTTTTCAAATACTTAAACTAAAACAGCATATAATAAACACAAAGGCATATGTGAGACTCTAGCTCTCTTCTTTTAAACTATATATTAGTATAATGAATTTGCACAGTGGGTGGTTCCTATACCCAACCACATACACCAAGACTGGCAGGTTGGAACCTGGCCCGGGCCAGCTAGAACAACAATGACAACTGCAGCACCAAAAAAAAAAAGAAAAAAAATAGCCGGGCATTGTGGCAGGCACCTGTAGTCCTAGTTATTTGGAGGCTGAGGCAAAGGAATCGCTTAAGCCCAAGAGTTTGAGGTTGCTGTGAGCTGGGACGACATGGCACTCTATGGAGAGTGACCTAAACTCTGTCTCAAAAAAAAAAAATTTTGAGAACCACTGTGTTAGACCATAAGGATAGTTGTTCTATGCGTTCATAGTAAAGTACAGATGGGGACACATTTGGGGAATTTAGACTAGGATCTTCTGATTGCTATTCCTGGAATGAGTCAGCTAGAGGTAGAAGAAACCATATTAACTTACCTAACCAAATGTGTCTCACATTCCAGAGTACCTGATGATTGTGAGCTCCATAAAGTTAAACCTTCTTAAGCCTGATTTTCTGTAAAATGAGAAATATATGACTTGACAGGGTTGTTAACAGAACTAATTTTGGTCTTATGTATAGGTATATTGTACCTGGAATGTTAGGAATGCTAATTTCTTTTCTCTTTCCCCATTTTAAAGTATAAATAATGGTTTTGGAATGTTGTTAGCACTATAGAATCTTATCCCTAGTGTGCTGGTATGATGTTGTCCATCATAATAAAAAATAGAATGTCCACTTTTTGCATTTTTGTACAATACACTTTTTATAAAGCTTTTTTTAACTGTAGTAAACCATGAGGCAATGGCAGTCTTAATTTCACAGAATGAACTAATCTAAGCCCAAGTAATGAAAGATTTCTTTTTATCTAATGTGTATAGTCACTATAGCAAGGTCAGAGCACCATCTGCAAATTGACTCATGATAGCACAAGTGCTGTAAAATTAAAATGATGCTAGGATTGTAATGACATTCAGTGGATTACATTTTTTTTTTTTACTGCCTCCCACTCTATTCCATGGGAGAGACCCCCTAAAAACTGGACCTCCTACCCCCGCCAGCGTGCCACGGCACCCTCTGGCCAGACATAAAACTGTAAAACTGTATAAATCTGTATATATTCCCCACTTGCAACACCGAACTCCAAGACCCCACCTACCCACTCCGAGACCTGGAGAGTTATTACCTATGGAGTCCTGACTCTGGGGCACCTCCTGGAAAGAAGGGGAGAGGGAAAGGGCTGGTGTTGTTCTGTGCCGACTGTGGTGCCCGCGTGAGGAGAGGAGAGTCAGCTTGGGGGACACCAGTGCAGAAACCCCCGGCACGCCATCCTGAACGGCAGCTGCAGGCGGGGCGCCCTTGACTCGCCTGGGTCGGATTACATTTTTAGGCTGCTCTTCAGAACTGTATATACCTTTAAGTATAGACCAGACTGAGTTTTTCATTGCTCAAGTGGTATAAAATGGTTATGTGAATGATATATGTTATACTGTGAAACTATTGGATGATCTAAACACGACCACCTCTTATAAGGTCTTAATTGACTAGAAAGATTTCGGAGTTTATATATTTAGCCTGTTGATACTGAAGTCATCCAAGAAAGATAGCTTGTCTATAGGTAGAATAGATTTGATACATTTTATTTATATATATACACACATATACATATTTAAATATTTTTTTTTAATTTGGAAATTTTTGTATAATCTTTTGGTGGCCTGTTTTTGTCACTATTGTTTATATGTAAAGTGCCCCTGCAGTTTCTGTGATCTTATAGTATGATAAGTTTTCTTTTCACCTGTAAGAATATGTTTATAATGCATGGGGTTCTGTTTTACTGAATTTTTGTACATAAAGTATTATACTATATACATTCTTTGTTTCAGGCACTTTTCCGAATGCTGACCCTACATCTGTCCCTCAGGGAACAGTCTATTATCCAGTAATGCCGGATCCCTATGGCCAGCCACCTTTGCCAGGGTTTGAGTCCTGCGTTCCTGTCGTGCCAGATTATCCCTATGTTGCCTCTTGGCATCCGGCTGGTGCAGCATATGGTGGTTCTTCTCAAATCCATGGTGCTATAAATCCTGGGCCAGTTAGCTATATTGCTGTATCTCCCTCAGCTTCTCATTATGTGCCTCAGAATATGTAAGATTTAGCAGTATGAAGTACTCTTGCACTACCATTTTCTTACTGTTTGGATTTTTAAAAGTTATGTTGAATGTTTAAGTCATTGGGTGGGTAGAGTGGTTACTATTGTGTCTATCTTTAAGATTATTTTATCTTTTAGTTTAAAATAGTACTTTAAAGAAATACTACTTTGGGCTGTGAATAAGGAAATAGAGATGGATATCCAACTAGCCCAGTATTGCCATCATTCATTGTATTCAGTTGTTTTCCTGTCAGCCAGCTTATCAACTTTGTGCTGATGGTACCAATTGATAAAAGGAATAATTCATGACAAACTATTTCCTTGGTTCAGAAATCACATATCATATTAAACCATGCAGTATTGAGATTACTTCCACTTTTTTCTATAAAGTAAAACAAAACCAAGAGAATTTGCTTCTGGCTAACTCACTTAGTATTAAATAAGAGAGCTCATTGGGTTTCTTAAGAATTGTCTAAACTGACTTGTGTTCTGTAAAACATGCTATTGTTTAATATTAGACTTACGTGTATTACTGCATGCTATTGAATTGGTGCACAGTTAGCAGTAAATAAAAACTAGCATTTAAAATTGCCAATGAGTGGGATTTTCATTTTTGCTTTTTCGTGGCAGCAAAGAGTACCAGACATTTAGTGGTTTCAGCATGTTTTTTCCCCTGGCATTTTGGTTGCAAATGAATATGAATTTATACTATGAACTGGCAGGGAGCAGTTACATGGCTGTTTGAAATGTTATTTAATTTCAAATCATTGCAATGCATACTCCATATCTAGTTCTTTTCTCCTGAGAATGTTCCTTTTAGGTTGTATTTCTATTTCTTTCTTTTTCTTTTCTTTTTTTTTAGAGACAGAGTCTCACTTTGTCGTCCTTGGTAGAGTGCTGTACCATCATGTATTTCTGTTTTTTAAAGCATCTGTAACCACCTTATGACACTTTGATCTAATCTTGCTTTCTCATTATCCTTTTCTTCCAATAGTTGTCAGATCTTGCTGTTTTTGCTTTCATACTTACCTTTATCTCTCAAGGCCTGGCTTGTCTTGAACTTTCTGTGAGACATATTTCATAAGTCCTATTTGCCTTCTCCCTTTCTTCTACTTGAAGACTACAAGATCTTCTTATATTAATCTTGTAGGGCAATTCAACCTGAATGTTTTGCGGTATCTTACCTGATAAACATCTATTTAAAAAGTTTAATTTGAGGGCTGGGCTCGGTGACTCACACCTGTAATCCCAGCACTCTAGGAGGCCAAGGAGAGTGGATTGCCCAAGCTCACAGGTTCAAGACTAACCTGAGCCAGAGCAAGACCCTGCCTCTAAAAATAGCCACGTGTTATGGCAAGTGCCTGTAGTCCCAAGCTGTACTCAAGAGGCTGAGACAAGAGAATCACTTGAGCCCAAGAGTTTGAGGTTGCTGTGAACTGTGATGCCATGGCACTCTACCGAGGGTGACAAAGTGAGAGACTCTGTCTCACCAAAAAAAAAAAAAAAAAAGTTTAATTTGGTTGTCACAAAATTTATTTATACCACCTTTTTACAAAAGTTATTTATCTTTGTGAATCATTCTATCCTTTATTTCCTGTGGCTGCATCCCAGGCAGAAAGAGCCATTTGAGATAATCAGGACTTGAGGTGCTTGAACAGCTGAAAGTACAGAAAGTGGAATCCATTGCAGAGAAGATACCCTATCTTCAGTGTATTCTCAAAGATGATTAATATTAATGAGCTTCCAGTAAGCCAGTGTACTAGTTAAAAGGTACTGTTTCATAACATATAGTACTGATTGGTGTTTTTGTTTTTGTATCCTTGGTCTTAAGATAGTTTTGCACTGTAAAACTAACATCTATCTTTAGATAGATGATACACACTGATTTTTACAACAACCTAACTATGCATATTAATGTTTAGTTGCTTCTCTGCTAATGCTCTTGTCTTCTCAATATGTGCAGCCTACAAATTGTCTTAAGTTCTTCATAAAGTTTTCTCTGAAATTTTCCAATGTGCTAATATTTCAGAAGTAGGCATAAATTCATAGTATGTGATTGTCCTGTATTTTCAGCTATCAGTGGCTCACTAGCTTCTTAGGGATATTTTAGAAAGTTGTAGTCTTTCTTGAGAGTGTGGGTCTGGAATTGGAGTAGTTTTGAGACAAATGTGCCAGTCTTAGGTTTCCTATTGATTTGTTTTTATTTCAAACTTGTGGGTTGCTACTTTACCTTGCTTCATTCCCTTATCGATTAATGCAATTTGATCACATGATTGTTATTAACTTAATCTGAAATCAACATTTGTACTAGGTTAACCTAATTTTTTCGATTAAAATCAGTTATTTTTGGTCTGTTTAAAATCATGCAGATCTCTCTCTTTTTCTTTCTTTTTTTTTTTTTTTTGGAGACAGTCTCTCAAGCTGTCACCCTGGGTAGAGTGCCATGGCGTCATAGCTCATAGCAACCTCTAACTCTTGGGCTCAAGAGATCCTCTTGCCTCATTTTTCTATTTTTAGTAGAGACGAGGTCTTGCTTTTGCTCAGGCTGGTCTTGAACTTGTGAGCTCAAGCAGTCCACCCACCTCAGCATCTCAGAGGGCTAGGATTACAGGCGTGAGCCACTGCACCAGCCAGATCTCTTTGTTTATGTATTACCATCAAATCTTTCTAAGAAGTAATCAAGGAGGGCCCTGGCCCTCCTTTTGTTAGGGGAGGAGTGAAGGTAACCTGTACTGCTGCAGAAATCTGAAGTGGTTTTGGAGGCAACTGCCAGATAAAAAGGAAGTGGTTTTGCGGTTTTAAAAAATAAAGAAACCCTAAGACTTTGGTTTAATCAGCATGGGTTTTTTTGTTTTTGTTTTTCCAGTTTTTGGCCAGGGCTGGGTTTGAACCCGCTACCTCTGGCATATGGGGCCGGCGCCCTACTTCTTTGAGCCACAGGTGCCACCCATCAGCCTGTACGTTAAACATAATGGTGGACTTCTTTTAAAATATTACCTCTTTAGTTACACTTATTATTACAAAAGATATCCTACCTATCTTTTACTATTAAGCACATTTCATCTGTTTATACAATTGTTAGGATTTGTTTGAGACCTTTTATCCTTATCCCTTTCCTGGCATAAACCTGATTACACCAAAGGTAGAAAAGTCCATAATTTCCATAGTAAGGAAAAATATAATTCATTTTTATGCTGTATATATTTATTCTCAAAACTAATGGTAGCTTTTTACCTCAATTAGGAGCAGATGAAAATACTGAATCTGTTTTATAGTTGAAATTCAAGACTTACGAATTGAAAACAGTTTTTATTTCCTTGGAGCCTATAATCAAGGCCTAACCTTTCACTTACCTTTGGAATAAAGATATAAACAAACAAGTCATGGATTTTTTTTTTTTTTTTTTTTTTGCGACGGAGCCTCAAGCTATCCCCCTGGGTAGAG